CTTGAACTTTCAACTGGCTGGGAAAACCTGGAAGCTTTCAGATTTGGGTTTTCACAGATGGGTCAATATGACATCTGTAATAAAATGGAACTTTGAAGAATCTCAAGCCTTGGAGTTTTCTTTTGTTGGGGGTGTTATTTGGAATTCTGACATTAACCTGAATCTCTGTATAACACACACACACACACACACACACACACACTTTCATCTTTAGTATGGTTTGGATTGTGCTTGTCTGGGGGAAGTACTGGCCTTTAAATATCTTTCTGAGTCCTGGTCTGATTTCAGGTTATGTGACTGGCTGGCTGTAGTTGCTGAGTCATAGCCCTTGGTTTGAAGTACTGTTTCTGTGATGTAAATTATTGCTGGTGTTATTGTTCAGATGTCTTCTGATGATATCATGGTCTGGTTTTGGGTTGATTTGTTTGGCTGCGTATGATGTGGTCGGTCAACTAAATCAATCCAAAACCAGACCATGACATCATCAGAAGACATCTGAACAACACCACCAGCACATCACACAGACGGTACTTAAAGGCCAGTGCTGCCTCAGACAAGCACAATCCAAAGCTCACTGAAGATATCTCCTCGAATAGGGGCGAAACGTTTGCAACCAAATCTCCAAGCTCGGAGCGCAAACCAACAACATAACTGCCAACCCGAGCTACTAATATTCAGAGACATTTCAAACCATATATAAGTATATTTATTTACTAAATACATTAGTTCAATAGGACTTTTTGCAGACTTTTTCTTCAAATTTTGGGTTTAATAGCAGCTTCATGCCCCTTCCCTTTTCAAAGTTTTTCATTTATATGTTAGATTAACATATTTTCCTTATTGCTTTTACAGCTAGCTCACCTAACTATATACTTTTTCAAGAGGCAACATAATATTTGAGCCTGGACTACAAAGTGCCCCAAACATCAGAGATTTAAAATTGTAAAGTTTTCTGTATCTGGTTGCTACCATCTAGTGGTATTTCTAAGGTTCATAAATTGTAGTCCTAATAATAATACTTCTTATATCAAATTGTTTTACTACATAAGGATATTATCAATAGATTCTTAACTATAGGGAATCAAATTATAGATGTTTTCAACTACTTAAAGATCAGAGGCAATTATAGTACAAAAGAAGGTAAAATTTGTTCGATGTATACTTACTGCAATCTTTTGACCTCTTTCTTCTAAGAACTCTTAGAATTGCACTCATTATGCCTTAATCTCTATAACTGATATGACTAATTTCTTCTTGTGGAAGGAAAATTTTACTTATCACTGCCTTCTCGTTTCTACTTTTCGATGACAACTCTGAACTAACTTCATCTATTCAACATACAATATTAACAGATGGCTGACAACAGTTTTTTGGAACAGTCCAAAAACTGCAGAATGCTCCCCAGTGGCCAAATAAGTGGAGACAAAGAGATAGTCTAAAGATTGGCTTCAACTAGTATGATAAGATTCATAGATGAATTGGGACTATAAAGGCCTGCAATTTTGCCCAAATGCAACATATTCTCCAATTCATTATTTCCAAACCTAGTGGGCCGAAGACTGAGAGGTCCAGAAAGTTGAAGTCCAACACATCCAAAGAATATCAGGTTGAAGAATTCTCTACTGCTCTGATACTTCTTTTATAATATTAGTAAGATATAAAACAAGACAGTAGAAAGACATTCCCAAACTATTAAAGATATCCAAGCATCAAACTCTCATGATAGCAATGAACCTTTCCTGGTTTTGCACAAAGAAAGCAGATATTTGCTGCCTGATAGGAACAGGGTGGGAATGTACCAAATAAATTGAGCATTTGTATGGGGAGTCTATAGTAAAATCCCAGAAAGGAAAGATATCTGATATTAATTACCATACAGCTTCACAGTAAAAAGACATAAATTTCAAGTTTGCACATATTTATTTCTGTGTTTGTTTCAATACATCATTTAAAAATAATACACATCATAATGTAATTAAACAATCTGTAGTCATTTATAAGGTTGATGTAGCTCTATCACTTTCGATCACTTTACAAAATGGACTTCACAGATTTTTAATCTTAAGGAAAAAAAATTGAATACCATTTAAAAATCAGATTATCCTGTGATCTTTGATTTCAATGTATAGTTACTTTTCAACAGTGTTAATGATACTGTTCTATTAATATTAATAAAACTGAAATACACACTTTCATATAAAACTCTTTTGATTTTTTAATGGGGTTATTTAAATATTGACACTGATCATTGACTCTTATTAACTTAGGCACATGCAGGTCTAACATCCAAAAAACATAATCTATACAAATATGATTGTTTTTATATACAATCATTGAATTAGAAAGGACCTAAGTGGTCATCAAATCCAACCCTGGTATACTCCAGGATTCACTGTACCATTCCTGATGTACAACAATGTAGATTCTGAAATTCTCGAGTCAAGGAGAATAAACTATTTCTTATGGGAATTTATTTATTGATTAACATCTCTTACTGTCAAGAAATTCAATCTAATATCTAATCTATATCCTAATCCTTGAAGTATCATTCCATTCGTTCTTATGTTACCATCTGCAGCAAGTAAGAATAAGTCCGAACCCTTTACAATAGGATTTAGTGTAGCTCATGATGATTGTTTAATTGTTTCTGCCAAGACATAAAGAGTATTGCTTGTCAAAAAGTTATATTTTACCCAGAAAGCATAAAGGAAAAAAATCTCATTTCATTACATTTCCAGCAGTTAGTATGGTGACTGCAGCAGAATTTCAAAAATGTTCTTACCAAATTATGGTCTCTTACCAAAATTATACCATTATTTGGTTGGGTGAATTTTATTTGATTTGCATCAAAGTTTATCTTAGAGAATAGCTCATGCTTTTCATTTTTTTCAGATAATTATTAAAAAAGTAGTTTATTAAAAAAAAAACCATGCAAAAGATATTCATTTAC